AAAGCAATTCCATTTAAAAATATACAGCAGGGGCTGGGGAGATAGCTCAGTAGAATAAGCGCTTACCTGGCAAGTGCAAGGGCCTGAGTTCAATCCCCAGTTCTGCCAAAAAAATAAAAAAAAAAAAAAATTGAGCTGGGGAGATAGCTCAGTAGAATAAGTACCTGCCTGGCAAGGATAGGGTTCCTGATTTCAATCACCAGTACCACAAAAAACAAAAACAAACAAACAAACAAAAAAAAACAACCAGGCAAGACAAAGCTACAGCAATAAAAACAGTATGGTACCTGCACAAAAACAGGTTAAGTGGGTCAGTAGAACACAATAGAGGATGCAGAAACCATTCCAGGTATATTCAGCCATCTAATGTTTCCACAAACGTATGATGGAAGAAAGCCTCAACAAATGTTGCTGAGAAAAACTGGCCTAAGGCCTATTCAAATTCTGGCAGAATATTTCTCAAAGCAGTTATACATAGTAGCCCAGGGATTGCCAAGACATATCAGGGTAATAACTGGATATATAAGAACAATTGCCTCACTTATTACACAGAGATTTCATACTAAATGGTAATTACCACTGGGCTTGATGGCAAAAACTGGGGTATTACAAGGTGTCTGACAAAGCACTGAAAGCCCATAGTGAAGGAATTTATAAAGGTTGTACCCTGCTGGGCTTGAGGTTGAAGAAATGTTGTTTACAGAGAGAAAAGGCATGAGGATCTTATAGCTTAATAACTACCAGGGTAACAGTTATAACTTTCATAGGCATGTTGGTGGCCCAAACTTAGGGTTAATTGGAAGGTCAATAAGAATAAGTCATTATCAGCATTTCTGGGAGAGCCAATTATTGCTATACCTATGGGGCCATTAGATGAGCCAAAGATAATTTGAGCCCCCATCTTTGTTAATATATCTTGGCCAAGTAAATGGACTTCACTAAAAAGCTCTGGATAAAGAAAAGATTATTCATAATTTATTCCACAGGAGAATTAAAATGTTTGGTCACCAGAGGCCCAGTGGTGCCTATAACTAGACGAAAGTAAAAAGCCAATAGTGTGGAACAGGAAGAAAGAACAGAGAGGTCCCACTGTTGAAGAGGGTGCTTCTGTCTTATCTGCAACATCAACGTTACCTCAGGCTCTGCCCCAGTAATGGTAATGATTGTCCGAAGGCTAACTGGAGTCTTGAGTCTCCTCATTTCAGGGACAACAGTTGGAGGGGGGTCAGGGGGTCTGAGGGCTGGGGAGATAGCTGGGCAGCTTAAGTGCCTGCCTGGCAAGTGCAAGGTCCTGAGTTTGATCCCCGGTACCGCAAAGACAAAACAAAACAAAACAACAACAAAAAACCAGCTGGAGCTCTGGACCAAGGGTCCTTTGATCCTTGGGGCAGTAGGCCCTTTGGGGCCCTGTTTCTCACATTTAAGACAAGGTGCCTTTGGAGGATGTCCAACATTAGGGCAGTTTCACAGTGGCCCATCTACCAGCAGTATGATACTTATTAATTATCTTAATTTCTTAGGGAAGAAACCAGCAGGTAACATTTGATTGCCCTGTGATGAGGTGAGAAGCCCTGCATGCTTTTCTCCTATCGGGCTTGTTAAGTCTTAACTTCTTTCTTTCCTTTGCTCCTCCTCTATATTCTAGTTACGAAAATCAGAATTAGCAGACTGGTAAGATAGCTCAGCAGACCAAGCACCTGCTTAGGCAAGTGCAGGAACTGGGGTTCGATTCCTTCCACCACATGGAATGCTGGCCGTGCTTTGGGGCACACTGAGCAGGCAACCAAGTCCAGGCGTGGTGGTACATGCCTAATCCCAGTGCTGGGGAGGCTGAAAACAAGAGGATCACTATGAGTTTGAGCGGCATAGTGAGACCTTGTACCAAATACATTTATTTTTTAAAATTTTTATTTATTTATTTTTTGCGGAACCGGGGATTGAGCTCAGGTCCTTGCGCTTGCCAGGGAAGCACTTATTCCACTGAGCCATCTTCCTGGCCCCCCAAATACATTTAAAAAATAAGAAAAAAAAATCAGAATTAGCAGTATTTAGGTCATCAGTGGAAATTTCAGTTCCCAAAGACATCTTTTGCAATTTACTCCTAATATTTGCAGCTGACTGGGTAAGAAATCTGTCTTTAAGGAGAACTTGGCCATCACAGGAGGGTCAGTTATAGTACGCTTTTAGTTTCCTTAAGTCATTCAAGAAATGTAGTAGGGTTTTCATTTGGACCCTGATCACTTGGGCCAGCTCAGTGATTTACAGGTTTGACTTTACTGGACTTAAGACTTCAAGAATGTAATTTACAAAATGTCTGCAGTCTCACATCTCAGGATCATTATAATCCCACTTAGGAAGGTCTACAGACATTACTTCAGGCTCTAGATATTATCTATAATGTAGAGAAGTGGTGGTGAACCTATGGCATGTGTTCCTTTTTTTTTTTTTTTTTAATAAAAACTAAAACTTCAGTATTCAGGTTTAAAGGCAGTGTTGGTACCTTCCAGTAAGTAAGTGGGTTTTAGGTTTCAGTCTGGGAAGTCTCTTTACTATCATGGATCTGGAGTATGTATGCCCTCAGCAGAACACCTGATCCTTGCAGTTTCTTGGGACCTTTCCAAATTTGTAAGAGTCTGTCCCAAAATAACACTGATATTTTTCAAAGACAGGTTGTAAGTATGAAGATGTCAGAAGGTTTATATACATGTTTCTCAGAATCATCTGAAAAACTACCTAAGTCATGTTTGATTTGCTTTAGGTCCTGAAAGAAAGGCGAGTGAGCTCTAATTGGTCTGAATTCACCTAATAGTGCCTGAAAGAGCAAACAGGTGCCAGCGAGGTTATAAAATTTGCTGAGAGCCATGATTGCCTGACCCAGAACATCAGGGTTACCTGATTACCCTGCCAGTTAGGAAGTGGCTCAAGAGATACAAAGCTACTCAAACGAGGGGGTTTCACTTTATTCACGAATGCCATTATACCTGGATCTAACTTATACTGGGAATGTAAGTAAACTAAAAGCCTCTAGAGAAGATATTTTCAACCACTTTCCTAATTTATTCCACAAGATAAATAAAATGTTTGGTCACCAGAGGCCCAGTGGTGCCTATAACTAGATGAAAGTAAGAAGCCAATAGTATGGAACAGGAAGAAAGAACAGAATGAAAGGTCCCACTGTTGAAGAGGGTGCTTCTGTCTTATCTGCAACATCAACGTTACCTGAGGCTCCACCCCAGTAAGGATAATGATTGTCTGAAGAAACAACTTTCACAAAAGAGGTCTAACTGGAGTATAGTCATAGAGTGTATTAAGAAGCAAGTTAATAGGACATATGTGTGAGGAGAACAATACATGGATCAAAATAAGGCACATTTCCTGCTGAGAAGAAAATAAACAGGTGGCAGGTGCAAAAAGGTAGTTTGTATTCTGCTGATATCTGCATGAAAGGATCCACTCATTTCTCTAGCACCTAGCACATACCAAAAGAATGCAGCTGTCTGAGGCTCTGTTAGTGCACAAACCAGACTTAACACTCAAAACAGGGTTGTATATTAGGCTAAAGGTATGAGAGCTATTAACAGTATGCCATCTTCTGGCCAAAATTGGTGTTACCCTGAAAGTGGAGGAAGATAACAGAAACTGTAAAGCCTAAGAGAGTATCAAAAGAGGGGAAAAAAAAACTTCACAAACATATGGGCCAAAAAAGAGGGGAAAAAAAAACTTCACAAACATATGGGCCTGAAACACCCATCGCAATATGGATGCTTTATCTGAGGCAAAACGTCTCCAATATTTTGGAACAATTCCAAGACCATAAACTGATGCAGCACAGCATAAACATGGGGAAAAGAATGGCACCTAATCTTAACCCAAAAATAGAGGCAATGGGAGATCTCATCTGATCACTCCATGAAATGAGCAAAGAAACAGCACCAAAGATGTTACTGGGAAGCTGGGTCCTATCAGGGCGAGAACCTACTATTGCAAAGACCCAGCAACACACCTTAATTCGTTGTTTTACTAAAGATTTCAGACAAAAGACACGCAGGCTGTCCTACAGAGTATAGGTATAGGTTATTGCAAAATGGTAGACTTTCACAAAGTGAGAAAATGGATACAACTTCAACGATTAAGACAGGCAAGCACCAAAAACGCAGTTGCACTGAATGAGGCCTCGGTTACATTTATATGATTAGCTGGGATCTTTCAAAGAACATTCTTTGCTTCCTTCGAGGTTACTCTTGTTTTACAAATAAAATGGGCAGTGTTCACCTACTTGAGAGAGAGAAGGAGGTCCCTGACTGCTTTTAAGGGAATGTCTCTACTTGGTTTGAGATCCTGAAGTTTTTCCAATCGCTCACCCACTGACTTTGTAGGGATCTGGACCTTATCAGCACGCTCAGCAGATGTACATTCCCTTCAGATAAAGACTGAAACTACTAGCTTGTGTGGATTTTGTCTACAGCTAAGGATGAAAAAAGCGAAGGAAAAAATGAAAATCACGTCTAATTTTTCAAGTAGCACCCCAGTCGCTGGTCTCACCTGGTTAATCACTAACTTTCTGCCTAACAAAATGGTTTCATAGCTTTTACCAGATTTTTCAAAGAACTTCGTAATTTCTCCCAAATGAAGAGTTTGACTTTGGCTCAAGTTCTCATCATAAAAAAAAAAAAAAAAGCTCGTAAAAATCAGATTAATAACGGAAAACAAAAAAATACAAGTACACAGAAGGGTAAGAAAGGCAAGAAGTTCTCTCGGTCGCCCCACGAGCATTCTCGCAAGCACTATTCACCGACGAGGAAGTTCTGATACGTAGTCCCAATTTATAGTTTGCACTAGGGTCAAATATCAGTCTTCAACTGCTCAACAAACCACAACGTGCCAAACTCTCAGTGAAAAGTTCCGACAAGAACAAGCGCTGCGCTCGGCATCGGGAACCATGCCGAACGCCCGGCCTCGGCCGGCAAAGTCCCCAAGCAGAGAATGGGGTGGGGTGTCACCTGAGGGCTGTTGCTGTCGTCCCCCGCCAGCACCTCTGGCACCAGGATGTTCGTTCCAGCACCGGTCTCCAAAGCGGCAACGGCCCTGAAGAAAGAACTGACAAATGACCATAGCGACAGTTCAGCCACTCTGCCCGACGGGGGAGTCTTCAGGCCGAATGGATAGAGAAGCCCAAGCAACCGAAGGTTGCCCCCCCGGCCTCCCCCCCCCCGGCTCTTGTGACGCAATCAGCTTGCGCCGGAATACGCTGTCCCTATTGTCCCGCCCCTAGCGTGATTTTACCAATAGGATTGAAGCACGGCGAGTCTCTCTCCGGGCGCGCGGGTGTGGGTTGTGAAAGCGGGTTGATTGAAAGAAACGCGAAGGGAAGATGCCAGTGACTCAGGTAGGAGGCGTTGGAGTTCAGGAACCCCCTGAGATCCTAAATGAGAAGAGCAAACGTAAAACTTAAGGCCCTGAAGGGAGGATTGGCAAAGGTTGGAGAGGTAGTGTCATTTTTTTTCATTTGTAACTGCTGAGAAATAAAAACCCGGGCTGATCAGGTGAAATTTACCAGCTATTCATCAGGGTAAGGGGAGGAGAAAGCCAGTTGTGACTGGCATTGGAAGGGTTTCAATCCAGGGCATGTTGTGACTGAGAAGGATCATCATGACACCTGAGTGGGTACTGCCTTGCTACCTGCTGAGAAATTCTTTTCAAAGTTCATATCAACAGTACTATTAGCTGGGGAGATGGCTCTGTAGAATAAGCACTTGTCTGGCAAGCGCAACTCCCTGAGTTCAATCCCCGGTACCGAGAAAACAAACACAAAATCCTTGATTAAAAAAAAAAAAAAAAGTACTATTAGAGAGGGGCCGGGGAGGTAGCTCAGTACAATAAGCACTTACCTGGCAAGAGCAAGGGCCTGCGTTCAATCCCCGGTTCCGCCAAATGACAAAAGAAAACAAAACAACCCAGTACTATTAAAAATTGAATCGGTAAGAATAAAACATCCCATTTTTACCCTGAGCTAAAACATCCCATTTTTGTCACTTAACACAAAGAAGCAGCCTTAATGTTTATTTACCCTTGCACACAGGTTCAGATTAAGCGTTTCTGAAAACATGCGATATATTCTTAACTTTGTAGTTTCTAGGGAACATGACTCCGTGTCTATTTCTCAGTCTGGAGCTGCTGTTGATGGCGTTACACACAGGTTTGCTTTGCTTTGAGTCTATCAAAAGTTTCATTTCAATTCCACTTTGCCCCCAAATTTTACAATTGCCTTTTATTTTGTATGGTGCAACACCATGTTTCTGAGGTGCAGTCTTGGTTGTACTGAGTTAATAAATATGACTTGGTTGAATTACAGGTTTGTCCCTGGTGGTTTCAGGATGATTGGACTAGAGTTGAACCATCACTCAAGTATTTAAGATTTGGAAGACAGTGGGATCTATAGGAACACTAAACACAACTGTGAAGATTAGAATTTTAATCAGTGGACTTTTTATTTTGTGACAGATTTATGGAAGTTACAGTACAAAGCTTCCCTATACCCTGTGAAAAGACTGTTGCAGAACTAATACCCATAACCCACATATGTACTGCTTCAGAAAGTGACAAAAATAAATAAGATATCCTCTTTGATATTAAAAAATTTGTGGGAAGGTACTGTCAAGAGTATATAAGATCAGGGCTGGGAAGATGGCTCAGTGGAATAAGTGCTTCCCTGGCAAACGCAAGGGCCTGAGTTCAATCCCCAGTTCCGCAAAAAAAAAAAAGTATATAAGATCAGATCCTAGTTGCCGATTCTTTGTAACAGTTCCTGTGCATTTAAGGGTTTTATTAGGTCTTTACCTATATCAATGTTTTCAAGAGTTCTACCTATCCTATCTCCCAGCAGACTTAGTGTTTCTGTTAGTATTTAGATCTTTGATTCACTTCTGTTTTAGTTTAGTGCTTGGTGAAAGATAAGGGTCTAGTTTTAATCTTTGGCATATGGAAAGCCAGTTTGCCCGGCACTATTTATTTAAAAAACTATTTTTCTTCCCGTGAATATATTTGGCACCTTTATGAAAGGGTGGCTGAGCATGGAGTTGTTTTTGTTTCTGTATCTTTTTTCCCCCATAATTTTATTGATAAACAAATAGCAATGAGACAGTTTCAAATCAAATCGGTGGGAGTTTCAATAATTAACACATTGCATACATTCCTCCCAGTGGTTAATTGCTATACAAGATGTGGACATGATATCCTGTCTACAAACACCATTAGAACAAATCCCTCTATTCATTAAGAGAATGTAACTATGTATCTATCCTAACCACCTTGAATACACAGATACAAAATGGACATTCATCTGTATCCCCTTTTTTTGTTAAGTTCCATTATTTGAATATTATAGGTGTGTTTGTTTCTGTATCTTCTAATGTTTCAATGATCCTTGAGCCTTTTTTTCCCAGAACCTTGCTTTTTTTTTTTTAAATGTATTTAGGACAGGGTCTACAGGGTCTCATTATGTAGTGATTATCCTGTTTTCAGCCTCCCAAGTGCTGGGATTACAGGCGTGCGCCACCTCGCCGGGTCTCAATCGCCTTCTCAGCACACCCCTAGGGCGGGGCCCGAATGCCACACCACGTTGAGGATGAATCTCAGCCACTGTGCTCTGCCTAAACAGGCACTTTAGTCCGCTGAGCTATCCGGCCGGCCCTGTTTTTAATCATAGTAGCACTGTAGAATCATTTCAAGTCAGGGATTGTGATACCTCCTTGCCTTGCTTTTGTTGCCCATAATTACTTTCGCTGTTCTAAGTCTCTTCTGGTTCCAAATGATTTTTAAGACTTTCTCTGAGTCTGTGAGATAAGCTATTGGAATTCTGAGGACTGGTTTAAATCTGTATGACAATTTTGAATTATGGCCATTTTTTGTAGTTTTTCCTACCCAAGAACAAAGGTTATTTTTCATTTTCTGGTATATTCTTTGGTCTTTTTCAGAGTAATGTGGTTCCCAGTGTAAAAGGCCTTTTACCTATGTTAGATTGAGGTATTTCATTTTTTTTTTTTTTTTTTTTGGATGCTATTATGAAAGATGTTGCTTCCTTGATTTCACAGTGTTATCTGGGTACACGAAAGCTAATCTATGTGTTATCTGTGTATATTCTGGCTACTGGGAATTGAACTCAAGAGAACCTTGAGCTTGCCAGGCAGGGCTTGTGCCACTGAATTATATCCCTCACCCAAGCTACTGATTCTTGAGTGTTTACTTTGTATTTAGCTATACTACTGAATTGGGTTATTAAATATAGAGGTCTTTGGGTTTTCGATGTTATGTCATCCATAAATAATGAGTTTAACTTTCTGTCCTATCCTTATTCCTTTTCTTTCTTATTTAATTGCTCTGGCTAATGTTTCCAGAACTATATTGAATAAGACTCGATAGTAAACAGCTTTGTCTTGTGGATTTCAGAATGAAAACTTTGTTTTTGTCTATTTAGTATGATGTTGGCTGTTGGTTTGACATAGGTGGCTTTTTTAAGATTGAAATAAAGACCATCTATTTCAATTTTCTGTAGGCTTTTTATCATGAATGGATTTGGACTTCATCAGCTTTTCTGCATCTATTAAGATGATCATACGATTTTTGTCCTTGGTTCTGTCAATATGGTGTATTTGTTGATTTGTGTATGTTTTACCATTCCTGCATCCTTGGTATGAATCCCACTTGGTCATGATGTATAATCTTGATTTGCTGTACTCTGTTAGCATCTTTATTTCTGCACCTGTGTTCATTAGCGAGGCAAGCCTATGGTTCTCCTTTTCAATTAGGTCTGTCTCCCGTTTTGGTTATCAGGGTAATGTTTGCTTCCAGGAATGAATTTGGGAATATTGTTTCCCTTTCTATTTCATTAAAGAGTCTGAGAAGTAATGGCATTAGGCCTTCTCTAAGTTTCATGTAGAACACTTTTAAATTTAAATGTTCTTAGGGTTTAACATTATAACTTCCATATAAAGGAAGTAGAAGATTAAAATAGAAACACTGCTTCAAAAATTTAAAAAGCAGACATACTGAAATTTAAAAACCAGACATACTGAAAACAAAGAAAGAATAAAACTGAGCAGTCTGTTTTAAGTAAAAAATATTTAATATTATCAGATAAAAATGATGATGACAGTTTTACATGGCTCATTTCATACATAATGCAAAGTATAAAACATCACTGGGCAAGAAATTGTAGTTGGGTTGCCAAATAATTCATAGACCACATAAAAGCAATGAATAGGTGATGACACATACTTAAATTATTACAAAACAGTTACAAACAACTGCATTAAATATCTTGATGTGTTCCACTACAGGAAAAGAAATCATGTATCTTTTTAATTCATAGAAGTTCAAAGTCAATACTGATACTGTGATAAAGCAGTTACTGTTTTTCTAATGATCTAGAAGTTTTAGATAGATGTCTTCTGCTAATCACTCTTATTATGACTGGATTTTATTTAACAGTATGTTTGAAGATAGAGAATACTTTTTAAACCACTGGGTAAAAACAGAGAACAATGATAGGCACAAAGGTTAACGTAATATTTTAAAAAGATGGAATATATTGAATATATTTCATGAGTTAGACATACTGAGTCTCAAAATCTGTTTATGAAGTTTTGTAAGAAAGTATGTGTATGCTTTGCCTATTCTGTTATACTTTCTTTGAAATAGGATATATTTGGTAGTAAATGAAACAAATCAAGACAAGTCAAATTATGTAACAGAAAAATGCTCTATCAAAGCTGTCTATTCTGACTTATCATTCATACTACCATTCTTAGTTGTAGACCAAACAAGGACAGACAGACCCAGCTACATAGTACTTACATGATGTATGAAAATAGAATCTAGAGCTATGATGAGGTTGCTTCAGTGATGAGTATCCCCCACTCTGCCATAATTAAAAATGTAAAATTCACTCAAGAAATATTCCCACGAAATACTTATAATTTCTCAAGTTTTCTTGGTAGATATGTTCCTGATTATGTGGACAGCTAAAAGATGGTATAAGAGTTGATGAAATCCATATAAAAGAAATATTTAGCCAGATGTGGTGCTGTACACCTGCACTCCAGCTACTTAGGAGGTCAAGGCAGGAGGATTTCAAATTCGAGGGTAGTCTGAGCAATGCAGAGACCCTCTCCCTGTCTCAAGGTAAAAGAGGTGGAGATGTAC